ACATCTGTGCCACATACAATTAAATTCTTTGTTTAATCAAAAGAAGCACTAAATGAAAAGAAAGCAACTGCATCAAACTAGTTAACAGTATTTGTTGACATCTAAAATAAGAGTGCATAAACTTAATTAGCAAAATATTAACAAGAGTAACAACTTAGTCTATGTCATTTAGGCCCCCACTGGGAAATATATTTATAATTCACACCTGCAATTGAGTGCGTAAAGCCTTGTTCTTGAATACAGTTGTTGCTGGCGGATACGGGGCAGCAGGAATTTCCCATGTTTTCACATCATCTCTGCAAACTCCCCAGTGAACTACAACATCTCTTGGTATATCAGTTTCTAAATACAGAATATCCTTGGATGTCTCCGAACACTTTCTAACAGCAACACTCACTAAGTTACCCATAGGAACTTCTTTTACAATAGACTGTTCCTCATAGAACCCTTCAAGCTGCCTATGCTCTTTCTTAGAGTCTTTGGACTCATTGCTAATGCTTTGAGCATTAGCTTGTGATGTTTCTGATTTAAGTAGCACGTTAGAGAACTGCCCCAGAGCACCTAGGATTCAGGAGAAACCAAAGAAATGTGTCAATATCTCATTCGACAGTAACAGAGAGGATAGGAAAAGCTATGGTGGGAAAACTAGGCCATTGTGTTCCCCCACACTGACCCATCACATCCCTACCCATAAACTAGGCTCAGATGGGATACTCTAATATATCTGCGAGTAGGCCACTTGACTCATCATTCTATTTTGACTTCTAACTGGACCAAAGTGGTTTTAGGGAAAAAACCAGATTTCAACCTTTGAGACACTAACCACAAGTCATGATCGCACAGAGCACACACCATCATAAAAGGTGAGGAAAGAAAGAAATTTTGCAAACACTGACAGCATCTAAAGTAACACAAGGTAGAATCAATATAAAGTGATTTTATTGATGTTACTCCTATACATCTTAGTAACCTAAGAAATAGCCTCTCTGTCGATGCAAATTAATAGTCAGTGCAAAACCACTAAATTTCATGTTGTATAATATATTAGAATAGGAATAACCAGCATGCATTATCACACCAGAAATTGGTATAAACACAAAATTTTATCCTAAATGAACATAAATTAATAACAGAAACTGACTTATGGAATTAAAAGCATAAAGTCAAGCAAAAAACAGAATATAACATTTTCTGCAACCTGGCCATATACCAAAGCCTCTTTTGGCTGCAACCATATTGCCGTCATCCTCGAGATAATCCACAAGAGGCACCTTAAAATCTCTGCCTCTGTGCTGATACCAGGCTCCAGTTTCTGCATCCTGCAACACCATAATCCCACAAATGAGAGTGGGGAGAAAGAAAGATAAAAGATTGACTTATGACTAAATGATTAGCATATCTGATATAAAAGACATTTGCTCAATCACTTGATATTGAAAATACAAACCTTCAGGACAAAATGTATAGCTGCAATTGCACTGCTGGGATTTAAATCAATCTTTACTTCATGAAACATATCTCCTTCAGAGAGTTTCTTCAAGGGAGTCTCAATTGCATAGTCCTGAAAAGATTTCACTTACTCCATATATTTATGCTTAAAATGAAAAGGCAGCCTTCTACTCAGAAACTTGGAAGCCAATACATACTCTAATGGGAATTGAACCAGGAGGTCTCATGTCTTTAGGAGGTTGATCCCATTCACTGCAAAAAATTTGAAAGATAATTCCTTTTTATATTCAGACGGATTCAAACCCAATACCAAAGTAATATTTTTGTGTGCACAAATAATATTCAATTCCAAAATCTAAAAACATATCCAAGGAAATGTCAAAATCAAAGCTAACCTGCCACTGTCATCAACATAAGAAACTCCCCAGTGAAGAATCCACTTTCCTGGAAGACTACATCCTACTGCAAGCTTCCAATTCTGCTGATCTTTTGATTGATCTAACCTGATGTAAATTTTTCCTTCCACCTACCATTCCAAATCAAAGAAATTAATATCCACTCGAAAATAAGAAAACATTTAATCAAACCGAACCTAATCTGCAAATCTCTATTCGAATTTTTAATTCTTTCTTCTTCTTTTTTAAGTTACACTCATACTAAAAAACAGAATAGTCCAAAACAGAGCATTTCCAGAAGTTATTACAGTATATACACGCTGATCAACTAAATTATAAAACTAGCATCGCAATTTTAAATTAACCAACTTTTCCTCCATAAAGTTTCTCAACTTGAATTCAATAAGTTTCCTTTTTCCAGGGAACCAAACAGAAACCAAAAGCAAAATAAAACCTATACACAAGCAACACAAAATACACACCAAGCAACTGCATTCAAGAATAAGTATACACGTATGAGGCTCAAGATTGAAAAACCTTTTCAATTCGCTTGACGGGAAAGGTCTCTTTGTACAAGACATCATCGGAAGAGAAAGCCTCGAAGGTGTCGATAACAGCTGCATCAGTGGAGCTGGCTTCAACGACATGAATCCTCCGACGAGGCTTGAAGCTACAGGAGCAAGCGCCGCGGGAGAAGAGAAGCTTTGGATTTCGATAGCAATTCAACAAGCGAGACGGCTTGAGCAACACCTTGGCCTTGGGACGAAACGATAGCACCGGGTTTTGGAGAGGAGAATCTATGGCAGCGGTCGTCATGGTTCGTCGCCAATGGTAATGGAAAAGACGTAGATTCTCTGTATTTTTATTTTTCTTTATTTGCAGAAACTCGAAAAACAGAAAGTATAGGAGGCGATGATGGATTCTGGATTTTTTTTTTTAATATCTTTTCCTTTAAATAAGAATCGGTAATTTGGTTTCGCCTTTACGAAAAATATCATTGAGATCCCCACGAGTTTCGGATTTTGATAATAATTCAATCGCCGAGTTTTATCCGATTTTTATCCACTTCAATAATTACACCGGCTTTACGCAGTAGGAAAAAGACTTCTAACAATAGTAAAAAGGTAGAGCAATTTTTTCCTTTTTGAAATAAAAAAAATATCCGAAAATATTTCTTCATTATTATTAATATTAAAATCAATTTCTTAAAAAAATTAATATTTTTTATTTTCACTAAAAAGGATTTACACTCACAATTTGTTTTTTTTCTTTTGCCAAAACTAAATTATAAAAAGAAACATCACTTTTTGCTTTTTTTCCATCAATAATGCTTTACACTTTTATTCCCCAAAAGGACAGAGAATAAAGAAGGAATAACAATTGAGATTCTTAGTCGAAATATTTATATATAGTGATGTATTATTTAAGTAAATATTCACGTATTCATGTATAAATTATTTATATATATATATTTCAATGCTTACGATGTGACATTTCCATTAAAATAATAAATAATTCAACAAATTAACTCTGACCATAAGACAATATTCGGAAATCTGCATGCTCCCATTTCATCTTGACGTTTAGCGAAAGAGTCAACGATCAATAAACTAAAAAAATTAAAATCTCGAGATTAAAACTTTTGAAATTATAAACATATTGAAATTCATTTGAGACCAAGTAATTAAATAAATTAAAAATATATATTTACTTGATTAAGATGTTATTTCCAAAATCTTATCATGGAGTATGGGAAAATCAGTTCTTGCGTGTCTATCTTTGTGCCGACATGTTTCTCTATAGATCCGTAGACGGCAAGGAAGTTTTATTTTCCTTTTTAAGAAATAAATAAATATTTAATTGAATTAGTTAATTTAACACTCGCATGTAAAAGTAATAATTATAAAAAAAAGAAAGGATAATTATAGATAATCAAACTTATCCTATATAAGAAAAAAGGATAATACTGCTATATGTAACTTATCCAAATATCCGATATGAAGAGAAGTTTTGAAAATAAGACATATCTAAGGAAAAAAGTCATAAAAAGTAGCTCTTATATTGTACTTATCTATGACTCTAGATTTATGAATATTATTAATTTTTAAATATTTTCTTGTCAGTTTTATTAACTTTAATGTCATTTTACTTTCAGATGATCATTTTGAATAAATTATTTTTTAATGTATAATTATTAAAATTTAATTTGATAAATAAATATATTTGAATCAAAATTGAAAATTTTAATTAAAAAAATTAAAATAAAATAATATATTGTAGAACGGAAGAAGTAGTTGTTAAGCCCGATTTTCTAACCCGACCCAAGATTTCGTTTAGCGTAAAATTTATTGGGCTAGTCTAAACCTATCAAATAAAGGGTAGATTGTGGGCTTGGACCACACAGCATTGACACTGTGGGCTTCTCTTCTAAAAGCAGATTGTCATTTGACCCAATTTTCAAACTTCTAAAAATAAATAAGCCTTGTCAAAGGCCCAAACCCATTTTATGAAGCCGTCGATGAATCTTACTTATGCCATTATAATTTCAAATTTTCTCATATAATATTTTTTTCAATAATAAATTTCATTACATTCTTATAGTATATTATATATATTTTTTCAAATTAACTCTCGCTCGATAAGTTTCATTACATCTTTATAGTTTCGATTTTTCTTATATAATATGTCATGCTTTTTTAATTAACTCTCATTCAATAATTTCTTTTTTTTCAAACAAATATTATATTGTTAAATTTTTTAAAAATAAAACTATCAAAAGACTTCAAAGTGTTACAAACAAATTAAATTTTTAATTGAAAATATTTTATAATTTTGTTAAACGGAATTAAAAAATATTATTTATTATAAAAATAGAACTTATTTATTAATTAAAAAATATAAGATATTATATGAAAAAAATTAAAAATATGAGAAATATAAAACCGAATATTATCAAACTCCATTCTAAAACGGGAGGTACGGAACCGAAAACGAGATTAAGCGAATATGCGCAATCCTCGATTCTCGAGGAGGCAACAGCCCGGGGGTTGATATCAACGGCCAAGAACAGCGAATGTTTTTCTCAACGCAAGATCAACGGTCCAAAATCACTCCTCGGTGTAAACAAGAAATATTTATTAATTAGGGTTTTATTGATTTATTCATTTTCTTCCCTGTCTTTCGCAAAAACAGCCAAAAGTCAGTAACCCGAACCAGCCCTCGTTTCTCTCATTTTCCTCTCCATTTTCTTGGGAAAAAAACAGAAAGCATGGGGAAGGGTCCTGGTCTCTACTCCGAGATCGGCAAAAAGGCTAGAGGTGAAAAATTTTATCGTTTCCTACTTTAGTTTCATTTCTTTTTTTCATTTTAACTGCTTTTAATTGATTTTTGTCTTTTTTTTTTTTAAATTCAGATCTTCTTTACAAGGATTACCAGGGTGACCACAAGTTCACTGTCACTACTTACACTTCCAATGGAGTCGTGAGTTTTTCTTCTTAATTTTTTCAGCTGATTTCATAAAACTTAAGCTGTTCATTTTCGATTTTTTTAATTTGATTTTTGACTTTAATTAACTCTTCTAAGATTAATACATATATATATTTATATATGCGTTGTTATATGAGCCTGATTTCGTATTTGTTATTTTATTTCAGTCATTAATGATTGTGGTGATTGAGTCAAAATTATTATGTATAATGTGGATGGAAGCATGTTATTATGTTTAAGATTTTAATGTTTTTGCTTAATTATAAAATTTCATATGATTTCTCTAGATTTTTATGTTAATTTGATATGTTTGCATGAAAAATTTAATTGCCTGATTTAATGATTGATCTAGAGAGCTGGTGTTTTTGGCTCATTGTTTCCTTTTTTATATGCTAATTTCTTATCTAGTTGATATTTTGATTCTTTAATTCGGTATACGTGTCAGGCAATCACATCAACTGGGATTAAGAAAGGTGAATTGCTTTTGGCTGATGTAAGCACTCAGCTGAAGAACAAGAACATCACAACTGATGTGAAAGTCGACACTAGTTCAAAAGTGAGTTATTCAATGTTCTTACAATTCAATAAGTGCTTGTATCTCTAAGGCCATAATCATATAGTTTCTGCACGCATGCATGCATGCGTATTTCATTCTCATGAATACAAATGCAGTTGATGTTATTTTCCTGTATTGTTGTGCAAAGTGGTATCGCCCCTTAAAAATTGTGGCAACAAGCATTCTTTGGTTTTATACTTTTTGATGCAGTCAATTTGGTTTAGGCTTAGGTATGATCTCATTGTGATGTTTTGAATTTTTTAATTTTTGTAGCTTTTCACCACTGTCACTGTTGATGAGCCGGCACCTGGGCTGAAGACTATCTTTAGCTTTGTTGTGCCTGATCAAAGGTCCGGAAAGGTAATAGAGACCCTCACTCCTCTTATTAAAATTTATGTTGCTAATACCATTTTAACGTGCTGGTTTAACTAATGAGTTGTGGCTATCTTAGCCTTTCCTTTCTGTACACTTATTGACTTCACATGGGCATGACTAGGTCTCTATTGTACTTAACAGGTGGAACTGCAATACCTGCATGAATATGCTGGAATTAGCACTAGCATTGGATTGACTGCAAATCCTCTTGTTAACTTCTCTGGTGTGGTGGGAAACAATTGTGTCTCTGTTGGAACTGATGTTTCATTTGACACTGCCAGTGGGAACTTCACCAAATTGAATGCTGGATTGAATTTCACCCATTCTGACCTCATTGCTTCCGTGACTGTGTAAGTTGTCCTTTCTCCAGAGTTGTGGCTAAGTTTTTAGGTCTGCATATCTAGTTTTTCTCATACATGGAATTGTTCCCTTAAGAAGCCAATTGTTTTATATGATCCTGATCATTACTTAGGCTGAGTCGTTTTTGCTACTTGTGCATGTAATTCATTATTCTCTCTGGTTTTGATGTTGTTATTTTTGTGAATAACTACAGCAATGATAAATGTGACAATCTTACGGCTTCCTACTACCACATTGTTAGCCCATTGACTAACACAGCAGTTGGTGCGGAGCTTACCCATAGCTTTTCAAGCAATGAGAATACCCTCACATTTGGTACGCAGCACTGCCTTGACCCATTGACCACAGTGAAGGCTCGGGTGAACAACTTTGGCCGAGCAAGTGCTTTGATCCAGCATGAGTGGCGCCCAAAATCTCTCTTAACTATCTCTGGGGAGGTGGACACCAGAGCAATTGAAAAGAGTGCTAAGGTTGGGATGGCCTTGGTACTCAAGCCATAGGCAAAACTATTACCATTGTGTGAATGAAGGCAGGCCTTGATTTTGATTGGTGGAGACTGGAAAGAAATAATGTAGTCTTTACGGATTTGATGGTCATGGATTGTAAAAAATAATTGCGATTCACGAACTGAAATCAGCAATTTGTTGAACAAGTTTCATGTTGTCTATTCATCTGTGAAATCAAGTGTTGCTTACATGCTATTAGTTCACTTGCTTTACTTAATTTCAGTCACTAATATTGCAGGCAGGTTATCATCGGTCATTACTTGCTGGATTTTCAGATGAATTGCTGTTTGAGGTAATTCAGCCCAGAGTGTTCGATTTAAGATGATTTCTTTCAACTGGATTCCGGTATTTGGTAGTGACTAGTAACCGTGTTGGTTATTTTTCGCATATATCATAAACAGAATCATCCAATCCGAATAGGGTTTAGGGTGTATATTTGACGATAATGAATCGAATATTACTATCTCGTAAATAAATCAACGCTGAATGATAAACAAATAGAAATTATTCATGGACAGTGTATCAAATATAATTCGTGAATATAATACACAAGTGGTAGCAACAGATGAAAAGCCATTAAATCTTTTATCCACAACCAAAAACTGTCATATCTTTAGGTACAATAACAAAGCTCAACACCCAATTTATTAACACGCATGTACTACTACTATACTGTTTTTGTACATATTGAGAAAGTCCAAAGATTTAGAAAGCAAACTTGAATCATAAATCTCAATCATATTAAGGAGGGGTAACGATGCTATGCAAGCCTTGAGGCTACTCAATGGTTCTGCCTTGGAGAAGGCCATCCCTGATTTGACTAGCAATGTCTCTTACAGCACCTGGTCCATGTGGGATGAAAACAGAGTTGGATTTTGACGATGCACCGATCTCCTTCATTGTGTCGAAGTATTGGGTCACAAGAACCATGTCCATCACATCCTTAGATGTTGTCCCAGGTACATTCACAGAGAAGGCCAGCACACTGTCCCTAAGTCCATCTACAATAGCCTGACGCTGCCGAGCTATACCAAGTCCAGCCAGATACTTTGACTCGGCATCTCCTTCAGCTCGCTTGATTTGCAGTATCTTCTCTGCTTCAGCCTTCTCATTGGCAGCAACCCTCAATCTAGCAGCTATTCGTGCCAAGTAAACATATATCAGGATAGACAATATTCATGGTTAAGCAAGCTATACTATCCTAACATAATTTCTTCATCTGATGCACAGGTAGCTCTTCTGAATATTCCAAGCCTAGCAAGTATACGAACATTGACTAACAAGGTAAAGTTTCGATAAATTAAGGGCAAGGAAGCCAAATAAAACAGCAAAATAAATACAAGTATTCATAAAGTTCCGCAAAATATACCTGCATTTATCTCATTCATTGCCCTCTTCACATGCTCATCTGGTTCAATATCCACAATAAGGGTCTGAACTATCTCGAACCCATAATGTGACATGGCCTAAAGATCCACAATAACAGGTCTGTTTTAGTCTGAACAACTTTGGTTTGTCCTAAAACAACATAGTAGACAGAGCGATACCTTTTCAAGTTCTTCTTCCACAGCTTTGGCAATATCATTCTTCTGTTCAAAAACTGAATCCAGATCCAACTTCGGAACACTTGCCCTAATAACTAAATAAAAAATATATTCCCTTAGTTCATCCTCAGAACTATGATCTAAAAACATAATGACTTGAATTTTGGCCAGTTAAAGCATGAGTAGACTTGATTAATATAAACACAGATTGCATAGGGTTCAAAGCACAGAATAATTCTTCAAAACATTCAAAATCTTTGAGAGCAAAAAGCTGAGAAAACTTTAGAGAGAGAGAATTCAAATGATTCACGTCCTCTCCAAGGCAAGAAATGGAATGAGGTTCCAATGATTCCTGAGACAGTTCAAGGGAAAAATCATATGAACGGTTCCAAAAAATGAGGAAATCCTTTTTGAGGCGTGTAGCAATAATTGTTCCAATTTAAAATAAGCACAGATCAGATATTAGACATAGAAGAAGATGGAGCAGAGCAGCCGTGATTCACATTCCTACACAAAGTAAGATAAAGTTAGAACATACATACCATCAAAGACATATGATTGGATCTGGGCTCTGGTATTGCTGAGCTTATAGAAAGCATCTTGAGCCTTGTCTGCTAAGGCTCGGTACTGAATTGAAGCAACCACATTCACAAACACATTATCCTGAAGACATTATAAAACATCAAAGTCAGTGGGAATGATAGATGGAGGTCCACACTGTCGACAGATCAGCGAATGCTTTTCACTTAAAAAGAGCACATAACCAACTATGCATCAACTCCATCCAACACTGTTTCTCAAAGCTTTTTTACAATAAAATCTCTCAAATCAATTTGTAATAACTGCTTCTCTTTCAGCCCCTCAGAAAATAAATAAAAATACAAATTAGAAGGAAAAAAACAGTTGGAAAAAGAACCTATCGCTCAGAAATTTTGAGGAGAATAATTAAGTGCTCTAACTGCCTTATCAAACTCATTATTACCTTTCTCTTTATCTTTTCCAAAGAATAAAATTTAAACTTCCATTATCAATAACTCGTTCCGTTTATCTTATGAGAAGCATTATATCCAATCAAACCATATTATGAATTCTAAAACAATAACAGCTATTTTGGATTGAAAATTCAAAATAATGCACCAGTCATGTGGATATCAATTATGCAACAAACCTTGGTTTTTGTTTCGCATCGAACATCCAGTTGCTGCACACGCAAGGAGAGAATACCAGCGGCCTGTTTACCGAAACACCAAGGCAAACAATGACAACCAGGGTCAAGCACTTCATCAAACTTCCCAAAGGTTTCTGTAATAGCTACAGTTGACTGCTCCACTTGAATACACCCAAGAACTTGCCCCATTTTTCTGATGAAAATAAATTATTCCAACATCAATAAGCATACACAGACTCCAATCAAAACATTAAATTCACATAAAAAGAAAACCACACACACAACAAATCAATCTTTCTTTCACACACATTTTGCGTCTGGTTTGTAGAAAACCAAACAAACTGTTCCGACAATTCCTTTAAATACTCAACCAAGACACAAGAAACTCATACTAATATATCACATCTAACGTAATAAACAAATAAGTAAGACCCATGTCAAGAATCAAGACAGTTGTTACCGGTTATAGTCATGGTTTTTAGATACCAACAAGCATGAATACATCTACAAACGTTAAATCGAAAAGATAAGAACAAAAGAAAGAAACTTTCGTTGAATCTTTCAACCTTGATCGTGACTGGTTCTCTAATATATGCTCAACAACGAAGCAAATACGATTCAAGCCTTCTTATTATATAATAATTAAGGATGCAGATAAACGACCCACCAAATAAAACCACAACAAATCCTCTTCAAAAGATGGAAATAGTCAGCAAACGTTGTGTTTCATAGAACTAAGAGAACTTTATTGGTTTATACAGCTCAGGCCAGAGAAGTAAGAGCTACTACCATTAACAAATAAAAAAGAAATAAACAAAATACTGTAATTAAAATACTGTATTATTGTATCCAGGTAAGACAAAAACAAATCTTCATTGAAATAAGAAAATCAAGGTTCGTTTACAGTTGATTCAAAAATCAATGGCGCAAAACGTGAAAACCGAGTTAACTCATAAAGAAACTCGAAGCTTTCCAAGAAAATTACAGGTCAAAATAATGAGAAAAAAAAAACCCCAAGTTTTGTCCTTCGGTGTTTTCATGATTTCAAAGAACCAAAGACAAAAACAACAGTCAGTGAGCAAAACCGCGAAGGGAAATCAAAAACGAAAAAAGAAAGCAAAAAAAAAATGGAAAATCGAATCTATCATTACGAGAATTGCATTACTCCAAGAAGAAAAAGAAGAAGATCTTGGCTTACCTTAACAAGAAGGAATTCAAGATTCAGAGAAAGAGGCAAATAAATCGTGAAAACACAGTTCGCTCTTCGCTCGCGAGTCGCGAAATCTGATACTCGTTGATGATTATTTAATAGTTTTGAAATAGAAACTGAAGCAATTTCGGGGAAACACGACGACGTATGAGAACGAGCGTCGACTTGGGAAAGGGATGTAGTGGGAAGAGACAAGTCTTTCTATTCCTTAATCGTTTTGTCTGTTTCAGCGCTGAGAAGATATTTTGCGCCGTCGCTTTATAAACCCCGCGGGAAATGAAGTCGTTACTAAATCCCATAACTAGGATCTAATTTCTCAATTATTTTATTTTATATAAAATAATTTATTTTAGTAACTGTCGTGAATTCATCATTATTGGCGTGGAATAAATAAGATTTTTTTTAAGTATAAATCCATTGTTACGTGAATATGTTATATGTCTCCTAAACAAAAAGAGACGTTCTTATTAGATTTGATGATTATTATTTTTTTATTAAGCGTTTAAAAGTTATTTGTGAATATAAATTTAAAAATAAGAATTTTTATTATGATAAAAAAATAAAGCTTTTTTATATAAATTTAATCTAATTTTGATCTAAATCAAAGCATACTGATCCGATGATCACGTAATGTATGATGAAAAATAGAAAGAAAAAATTTTCTTTTACGTTAATTAGCCCGTGATCACGCCTAATGAATAATATCACTTAACGTTAAGTTTGAAATGGAGGAATGGAGTGGCTCACACCAAATTTGCTTTGGGTTCATAATTTGACATTGCCATACTGTTATGGACGTCGTTCTCGTAAAGAGAGGGCCCATCCAATATGGACCATTTGGGTGGGCCAAGTGATTCCATGGCCATTTAGTTAACATCTAATTGGTCCAATATCTTCGAAATTTATTGAATGCAATTAATTCAAAATTAACCCTAAATTTTATAATATTTTAAAAAATATTACAAGATTATAAAAAAAATAAAATCGAAATATGATTATCATGTGATGTGAATCGATCCAATATCGTCAAGGATCATTGAAACAATTAATTTAAAATTAATTTTAAATTTCGTAATATTTTGAAAAGATTATAAGATTATGAAAAGAAGAATAAAAACAGAATATAATTGTTGTATGATTGTTCATTCAAAATAAATTTTACATGATGTATTACAAACAATTTTTTTTTCAAAAAAAAATTAAACAATAATTTAATATTTTTTATAATTTTTATCTTTACATATTTATGGTCATCATTAAATTTAGTGTCGAGAGTACATAGTTATATATAAATATTTATGATTAAGACAGTATGCCTGCTCTTAACCTAGTATCGAGAGTACCTGATTGTCCCCACAAATCAAGGTCAAAATGGTTATCTGGAATTTGAGGACATGTCCACGTTCGATCTCTATCCGGACAAGCCGCATCCGATCTTATAATAATGAATGCCGGCTTGGAATGGGCTCATTGCCAAAATTGGACGCAATCCGAACTAGCCACTCTCATCCTGCCACGCAAGCAGACTTCCCAACTAGCACGTTATTCCCTTCTTAAGTAATTAACTCTGCGTTATCACGTACTTTACCACAGTAATTCCGTGCAATATTACCCCTGTAACTGTTTTTTTCTTTTTATTTTTAAAAATATTGCTTAGCTATAATGACGTCATAAATTGGAAAAAAAGGTAAGTGGTAAGACTATAAATTAATAATTATAACCAAAATGGAATTCTAGGAATTTCAGGAAAAAAAAAAAGGCGAAAAGTACTCTCTGATCAGTACCCGGTCGGTAAAGCTGATACTTTTACAGTCGAGGAATCTCATGAGACTAGTATCAACGATGTTTTCCTCGTGTCTTTGTTCGTCGGCGATTACTAAAACCGCCTCTCCGGTACCGTCTCTGGCCGCCTCCTCCTTTCAACCGCTACGCCGTGCTTTCGTTTCCTTCAGCCACCTTTCATTTCCCCGGAACTCAGTTTCGTCCGGGAATCTAAAGTTTTGCACCGTTTGCGCCTCTAAATCAGATGTTCAATCTCACTCTTTTCGTCACGAGGTGATCCTCCTCTTGTTCTTAGTGAAAAAGAATGATATTCTTTCGTGAAATAATGTTTCATTGTGGAACTGTTTCAGCCTACAGTTCTTGTTTTTCTTGCTCTTGTTTTCTTGTATACGTGCCTGCTAGATGACTGAACACGTAAAGTATTAACAAAAACTTCACCGCTTTACGTATTTTAAATTAATAATTTTAAGTTCTGTTTTCATATGATATATAGTTCATTTTTTTTTTTAATAAAATGCTCAAATTTAAGATTTTTATCTAAATTTTATTGCTTTCTCAGTGTTTGAGTTAAGCTTAAGTGATGGATTATATGATTAATTTAATATCTAAATTATTTAAATTCTACATTATAAAGTAATTAGTGAATGATAAGTGATCAATTGTAGTAGTAAAAGAACACAAAATTATGGAGATTTTTGTGTGATTTTATTTGATAAAATTTAAGTAATGTATAGATATATTCAATATTTTTGTGTCAAAATGGTTTTTTTTTTTAATTTATATTGTTAGAAGTGCATGATAATTTTGAAATTTAAAGCCGAAAAGATAAATCTTTTTTGATCGATATAACTAGAAAAAAATTTGGTATTATGCATTGTATGTGTGACTAAAGCAGTTAAAATTATTACAAAAACAAGGGAGTTTTTTTACTTTATACTTTTTAGAGAGATCCAGCAGGGTAATTTAATAAGCAGGTGTTGGTTCACATTTTAGTTTACTATATTGGCGTCCAGCATGATAGATTCTGCCTTATAAGTAGGAGAAAACAGAGCTAAGATAAAACTGAACTTCTTAAAACCAAGGATTTTAAGACTCATCCCTCCCTAGGAAAAAAAAGAAGGGGAAAAAGATGTTGCAGAGTTCTTTAACTTGGTTCCAGAAGCTGGCAAAGCCAATCTCTGGCCTTCTCAATGTGAATATCTTCAAGTTTTGTACTTTACTTTTGTCCAATATTTGTATCTCAACCATTTACTTTTTATATGTTATCTTTGTTGCAGGGAGGTGAATCATTTTTCAGAGATGTCTTGACAAGTATGGAAACAGTTTATTTAAATAGAAACCCCACTGCAAAAGCCATCTTGGAACTTGTCCGTTCTGTTGATGATGAACAAATCTGCTATGATCATCTGGCTTTCAGGACTTTTGGGGTAAGCTGCCTTTGCTTTCAAATTGTTTGAGAATCAGTTGTTCTTAATTAATTATATTGAGCTCTGAATTCTATCTCATTTGATAATTTAGGTAAATGGTTATGGGATTAAATCCATCGCAAGTTTTTTTCTGGACTATGGGTATACACAACAGGAGGAACTAAGATTGCCTGCTAAAAAATTGAAAGCCTTGTGGTTTTCTCCTCCCCGTAGTTCCTCCCAAAATGGTGGCAGTGGTGTTAATGGGCCCTGGCCAAGAGTATTCATTTCAGAGCTTCTCGTGGATCAAATGAGCCCCAAAACTCAGGTATGTCTGTACTGGTGCAGTTTTAGTCAACGTTATCTTTTAGCCATGGTTGGTGAACCACATGCTCTTGTAATGTGGAAGCCCACATCGAACTGGCACAGGTTTTAATAATATTTATAACGACCCAAGTTTAAGCACTGACTCTATAACTTTTCGGATCTAAACCACGTGACTTTTAAAAGCTCAAGCTTAAATTACTAGTAGTAATGAACTTGAATTGTTATATAAGTCTTAACAATCACATTTACATTAGATGTGGACGTGGGAAATTACAGTTGGTTCTTAAAATTTATTTAAGTGAAACTAGTTAAAAAATGTGAATTGTGGCTTTCAGGTGTCCAAATGTTTGTAAGACCTGTAGAATTCATGAATTTTCTTGCCTAGAGTTGGATTAAACTGATAATAGTTTTAGCAGATTTTTTTTTTATATTCTACGATTTCATTTCAGCTGTTTTACAGATAATGTATAAGGTCGATAATTAATGTGGGAAAGCCCTAATATAAAAAATGATGCCTTTCTTTTTCTCTAATATGGAAAGATCCCTCAGTTATTTGTACAGAAATCTAGCTAAAGATGCTATAATGGGGAGACACCATAATTTGTATCTGACATCATCTTTGCATCTTGTTTCTGTTTTATATTCTCATCTGCTCATTTTAGTGACAATGATATTTCAGGAAATAATCAGAAAATACACTGGAAAAGCTGGTAGCGGGAATAAACATGCAGCTCTTGCAAGTTCTCTGGGATCTTTAACATGGGAGAAGCCCTTGTATTCTGAATTTCAACAACTGGCAGGGTATTTATTTGATTGTCTTTCTTTATCTGAGCAAACACATTTTCTCTAGGAAGATAGAACACTTAACAATATAATTTGAGCTGACTTTACCTTTTGGCATCTTAGTGCTATACGAACTAAAGTGGTTGACTTTGATTATGGACGAGCCTCCATTTACAAATGTTTACTTACATTTATCTAATGCTCAGGGAAAGTGAATATGCTGCTTGGACCCTTGTCAATGGCTATGCACTCAATCATGTCACTATCTCCACTCATCGGCTGAAATCTAACTTGAGGAATATCAAAAGCCTCAACCACTTCATCGAACAGAATGGGTTCAAGTTGAATTCTGAAGGAGGAGTTCTAAAAGGTTTGCAACTTTTTGAAACACTTCACGCTGTTTTATATTAGTCATACATGGACATTGCTAATAGTTATATCAAGCAGACTCCCCTCTTAACGTCAAATGTTATAGAAATGGAATAGGAAGGGTATGAGATGAATGGAATACACATAATACTCATAAAAGCAGATCTTTCAACGTATGAAATGGTAGCTTTTGGCTGCTCTAATTTTAATTTTAGAGAATGAAAAGTTCCTTTGGCATTCTGGCACGACGAAGAGAGTTTAATGGATTAAGCTGTAAAAATGCTATGTATCTTTGTGAGTGTGTGTGTTTTCTGTAATCATGCTTGAGTTAAGGGTCTTCATAACCTGGGAAATACTTGGTGCCAACCAGATAATAAGAAATAATTAAAGCTTTTTGAGGAGCTCTCAAGCTTTTCATAGTCACTCTGGATTTCTCCAGCGATTAAGAGGCTAAGATTAGATGCTTCTCTGTACTTCATTTTTGACCTTAAAACGCAACAATAAAATATGCATATGGTGTTTTGCATAAATGTCATGTGAATAGCTCCAACTTTAGGGGTTAAATGTATTCTTTTCTGAATGCTTCCTTGTAATCATCAAAGAAAAAGAAATCTTGAATGAACATTCACTTGGCACAGTTGGATTATTATTCTGTTATACAAGTAAACTATTGAAGCTTTGTGCAAGATTAGGAATTGTTCAGAACATTTCATATTGCAATAGCTATTTAGCTTATTTAGGGGTTGCCTTTTTCCTTCCTCCAACCCCTTTTGCTGTTCTAGTAACAGCTTTTGTGTTTATACTCATTTTTCTGTTAGTTAAATATGGTGCTTTTGACCATGTTGAATATTGTCAATAATCAATTATTGCTCATGTTATTTGTTGGAAAATGAGTTGACGATTTAATGGCGTTATTTCCTCCATTTCAGTGAGTCCTGATGGTCTTCTGATGCAAAGTTCAACAGTGGCAGATTCAATCCCTTTCTGTTTTTCTGACGGTGTCAATGAGTCTGTTCCCTGTTCATACATCGAGTTTGCAGAACGCCTTGTGCTGCCTCAATATAAAAACTTGCCTGAGAATGAGGTATTAACAACCTTGTGGTTGTTGATAGAGATATTAATTTCAATAAGATACTTAAGTGATTGTACAAAAACTCTACTATTTACACAGATCCATTGTGGATATTAGCTCACAGTGTTAGCTTCGAATGGTTTTAATGTCATTGCTTCACTGTAGACACAATCTTCTGATTATCGGTTAATCTGCCAAAAATATGTACTTTTATAAACGCTTCACAGGTGCTGACTACTTGTATTACGAACTTAATTGCACAGGTTCAAGAGTTCCACAGGCGAGATGGATTTGAGGTTGGAAATGCTGACAAGATCTTTGAGAGCACCTCCAAAGAGCAGCTTACAAGGAGAGCTTGATGGGGTGCATACCAACATCTTTATCAGGATCATGGCTGGAACTCTGGGTAAATCTAGCCAGAGGTCCGTGATAAGTTAGTCTTCTTATCACAGATCTAAATGTAAATCAACTAGTGTCGTAGTTGTCCAAAGTGCCAAAAATAATTGCCTGTAGTATAATGAAAGGAGTTAAAGAGCCCATTTGAGTTTAAACCGTGGCTATATCACAAACCATGATTCTACATTCAATCACTAATCATATGTTATAGACTTGTTCTAAATGCCTTCAAGGAATTCTTCAAAATGATTGATTGACTAGTTGCCAATGATCTAACAACTCATTGCCAAACAGTGTTTGATCAGGATAAAAGGCTACTCATCGAGTGAGACAATGTTTGCTACAGGCAACTCTTACAGCCAAGCGGATGCTACCAAGAAACAAGCACTTTGTGTACATCAAGGAAGAAAGAACAGAAAGGAGAGAGAGCAAATCTTTAATATTTCCAAATAGATTAAAGCAACAGATGGTTAACATCGCATTGTGCTCTACAAGCTTTCACCTGCCCTGACTATCCTGCTGGGGAGGCTATCATCCTAAACACAACATGAGGCAAACATGTTTTCACTGTTGCTTTTTCCATTGTCTGGGAACAAATGCTTTGACAGACTACATCTATACCGAGAAGAAAGAAGGGGAAAAGGAAGTAAAATGATAAGAAGAGGTCGAGGGAAAAAAGGATAATTAACTACCCAACATTATGGTTTACCATTGGGTTTCGGTGACTGATAGGGATACTGATGGTGATACGGAGAAGCATGGGAACCATTTGGAATGGAAAGGCTCCTCTGCCCATTTCTTGAAAGCAATCCGGCTTGAGTTCGGATACCATTTCTAGCATTCGGACTGGACCCTATGCGTTCAGCTTGCATTGTCTGGAAATAATATGACGAGCTTGCCATGTCCTTGAGATTCGGTAGAGGCTTCAAGGCTTCCACCACTTCGCTCATTAAAGGTCTGGCTTTTGGATCGCGGCTAAGACAGTGAGCAGCCAGCTGTGCAGCTTTCTGAGCACCTTTAATTGAGAAGTGACCTTCAAGCCTAGGATCTATCAACCTATAGAATCTTCTTCTCTCTCCTAGATGAGGCCGAGCCCATTCCACAAGATTGTGTTCTCCGTTAGGTCGGTTTTTGTCCATGGATCTTCTACCAGTCAACATTTCGAGTAGAACCACACCAAAACTGTAGACATCACTTCTTGATGTAAGATGTCCTGAGACAGAATTTTGTTCATCTGATTAGACTCAATGAAGAGGAAATAGGACAACAAAGCATTGCTTTTCTTAGGGAAAAGCAGGAATGTTATTGAAACAAGGAAATACATACAGAAAATTGCAGGCAATCAAAGTTAAAAGCTAACTTGCACATCTTTTTACTTTCAAGGATAAGGTTGAGGGAATAAAAAATGGGGAAGGGGGATGTAAGGCGGCAAACTTAAAGAAGCATCTCCTTTTAATTAAAGCTTACCAGTCATTACGTATTCTGGGGCTGCATATCCGTATGTCCCCATCACACGGGTTGATACGTGGGTTTTGTCTCCCTCCGGACCATCTTTGGCAAGTCCAAAATCAGAAAGCTTTGCGTTATAGTCCTGCAATGGCAAATTACTATAATGAGTAATCCATACCAAAGAAAAAATTCTTTTTTTTTTTTGTTTAAACAGAAAATTTTTATTGAGGTTAGAGTTTTCACCACATACCGCATCTAGTAGGATATTAGAGGTTTTGAAATCCCGATATATTACCGGCCTTTCTGCCTCTTCGTGAAGAAAGGCAAGACCCTTTGCAGCACCTAATGCAATTTTCATCCTAATGGACCACGGAAGAGGCAAGGACCCTGCTTAAATCATAATTTGCAATAAACAACAGAGAGTTACAATGTTATCTACGAACATAAAACACCCAACTAGAGAATATTGCTATAATAAATATGTAAGCTACCATGGTTGAGCAGTAATACAACTGAATATCTAAGAGGTCAGCATTTTCTGAAGTAGATTGGGGATCCATTATTTCTGAAACTTCAATCTAAAAAGCAGCCATACGTGAAAGAGATGAAATTTGTTCACTCAATTTTCACAAGAAATTATATATAGCAAGTGATTGAAATCCACCTATTTATAGGTTGTGAATGAACATTCATGATGTCCTAAAAAAATGAACATTTTAAAGTAAAATATCATTGATCAAAAAATTGGTCTTAAAGATGAAAAAACAACTACGTACTTCTGAAAAGGTGGTTTTCCAAGCTTCCACGAGGCATAAACTCATACACTAGCAATCTCTGATCATCTTCAATGCAATAGCCAATAAGTTTAACCAAGTTAGGATGGACAAGATCACCAAGAAAATTAACTTCGGCCTGCCACATTGATGATCCAAGAATCAACAAAAGACTAAATGGTTCCAATGAAAACAGGAAGAAAATGAGGCACTGGTATGACATAATCTGTAAAGTGAAAATGCTGAGGAAAGATGCAAACCAGCCATTCTTTATGACCCTGGAGGCCATCATGGTTGAGTGTTTTAACAGCAACAGTAAGCCCAGTGCCTGGTTTTACAGGAGCTGTTCCATTTTCTTCGATCCACCCTTTGAAAACACAACCAAAACCACCTTCACCAAGGAGACTCTCAGGTCTGAAGTTTCTAGTTGCCAACTTTAGATCATTAAATGTGAACTTCCGTAACCGGGATGCAACTTTAAGCTCTTCTTCAAGTTTGGAAGTCGATGCATTACTTTCTGCATTGCTAGTGGTTGTAGACGAGACAACTGGAGCTGTTGGTTGATCTCTACTGGTATCATTTGCAGATTTGCTATCTGTTCATCAATGCATAGATTAACATGTTAGAAGATAAAATTATATTGGTCTCTACAAGGAAAAACATATATTTGTGGAATTTGAGTTGTCACACCTTCTAACATTTTCCATATGAGTTCCAGCATGATTAGAATGCTGATACAGTGATCATATAGTCCATTTTTGAGTATATATATCTTGTAAAACTTCTTTGAGTTTCTCAAATTCATTTAAAATGGAGCAGTAAATACAAACTGCTAAAGAGGATGGTTTCAACCATTACTAAGAACAAATCACAATGCACTGTAAAACTTTTGAGAGAGAAATAGAGACAGGAGACCGTAAAAGTTAAACTATATTCATACAAAAACGATTTAGTGCTGAAACACCCAAACTGAGGCACACCAGCACTGCCAAACCTAAATTCTGCTACCACCATTCAAATACAACTACTTTGACAAATTGCTGCTAAGTTTGGCAGGTAAACCGTCTTTCAATAAACCAGCAATAAAAGAATATTCCATTGACACTGCTTCAAACATGCCATTATATCATCCCACAAGTTTTAAGCGGCCTATTGTCACTACCATAGCCCGTAACTGCTCCCAAATAAAAACAATCTACCATTCATTTTAGGCCAGAGAACAAGCCTCTTTCTCATTTAAGAAATTCTGGATTTCTACTAACCTTGCTTAAATGGAAATTATTAAAATGCATAATTGCAAATCTTATCCTTTGATTTCCTAAATTAGTCATCCAGTTATTAATTAATTCTCTAAAAGATTGGTCACAGACTGCAGTTTCCTTCACTTCTTATACTCACTGTGTTTGTTTCTTCATTTAAACATTGATTTGCTGCTATCATCCATGAGAGTTCAGCATTAACATCTAACTCCAACCACCTAAATTCACATTCTATAATTAGTCTGTTAACAAAAGATTTAAATCAAATTCTCCAAGTAGCAACTGATTTCCTTCGCTAGCCTCTAAAACAATAACAGACACCATGTAGAAAGAAATTAATTGCAGCAGACAATCAGCTGTAGTGCTAAGAACGAGAGTTTTCACAATGTTTCCAGACCTAGTCTTTCCACGTAACAAGGCCGAAGATTGTGAAATTTACAAGAAATGACACATTACAAGTTAAAAAGATTCTGACACAAAAGCAAAACAGAAAGCAAGAGAAAATGAAACCGACAGCGAGCTGAGCAACTACATTATTGATTGACACAAGGCATCATGGCAAGTAAATAAATCTTCAGTTTTTTGTCATCCATTCTTCTGTCTTCACATTAACAAACTCATTCCAAATTCCAAGATCATCCATGAGAACAGGACAGTAACTTCCACATTTCACAATATATTTAAGTAGCTTAAGGTTTTGGTTAAAACTCTCATTGGATGCAAAAAATTTAGAAAAAAGAAAAAAAGAATCCCCACTTTCAAAAGAGAAATAGCTAGTTAAAATCTAGTAATTGACCCCAATCATACTAGTGCAAACACACTGCTTGAATAATTACTCCGTAAACTTGATGCAGAATCTTAAAGGCTGCACCAAGCCAAAAGAAAAAGCTAGCATTTGGCTTAGCTTCCCCGTTATCATCTCCGAGCTACTTACAAACTAACAAAAGCACATTCACATCAATAAATGATCATGACAATAAACATATCATTTCCATCCAGCAAAACATGCCAAAGAGAACATGATTCAAAGTAATTCCAGGTAACCAAAAATAAAGAAACAAGTTCTACAACTTAATAGCAAAGCACAAAAAGAAAAGTAACATTTAGCAAGAAAAAAATGAAAAAATTACCATAATGAGTACTGGTCCCACTAACAGAACTATCAACTTTGGATCTTGCAGAAATGCAGCTTCCAATAAACCTCAACTTAACCCAACACCCTGTTTCTTCCACCACAGCTTCATCTTCAAGATCTTCTTTTTCACTCTTTTTCTTCTTCTTCCTTCCCTTTGATTTGCACATATCCCAAGACTTCACCTTTACTTCCTCCAAACCTAATCCCATCTTCTCTCTTCTTCTAGCCCTAACAATTTCTCATACCATCAAAACCCCACAAAAACTAAAAGTACCCAAATTTAGTAATGTTCTAACCCAAAACCCCACTTTATCAGAAAAAGGTAGAGAAAGCTAAAAACAAGAGAAACCCAGTTGAGGAAAGAGCTAGATCAAATTAACCAGACCCAAAAAAAAAAACCCAAATTTAAAACAAAAAAAAAACAAAGTAGGATGTTGATGGAGCTTGGAAAATGCTCAAGAACAAAACAAAGTTTGTTTCTTTTCTTCTTTTCTATTTTGGGTTCTTTATTATTAGAAGATGGAATTAATAAATCTCAGCTGGAGGCAAGAAAATGTACTCACAAGCTGAAATGCTGAGCTGAATGGTTTAAAAGTTTTTAAAGCAAAAAAAAAAAGATAAAAAAAGGGAAAATATTCACCTCTCTCCTTCACTTACTATTATTGATTCTCTTATTTTATTTTTTCTTTTTTAATTCTAAATCGAATCAAAGACTAGAGAAAAAGCAAAATGGGGCTGCCCGGAGGAAAAGGGGCAGGAGGTGCCCGGTGAGAGAGAGATTTTACCCCGTACGGGCTTTGGAAGGATTGTAGGTCGAGAAAGGCGAGGGGAGGGTAGTTCGGGCTGCTGGGAAGCGGTGAAAAAACGTGGGCAGCGCGGGCATAGACAAAAAAATATAAAAAAAGAAGTGGGACCTACTTGGATGGTGACGTGTCCGACTTCGGTGGGCGGACGCCAACGCGCGCGTCGACATTGAAAAATTCATGCCTCGCTCTTCCTTTTTGTTTTTAATAGGTATTTTCACTTTGTTTTTACACATTTAAAAGATTTATAAATAATACTCGTGTTTAAGTGATAATATATAAATATTTTTTAATACTTAAACTTTTACATATTTTTAAGTATAAATACTTTACAATTACGGTGACTCGAACCAGGAGGCCTGCTACAATTGAATACTGAGAAGCAGCCACCAGAATTCACAGCCAAAACCTTGCACATAAGCAGCAAAAACAGTTATAGAGAGCATTTGTTCACACTATCCCTTTGCAATGCCTGTAAAACTGCTCAGCTTCCCCTCTGATAGTTTCTGCAATGGACTTCCAGGATTTCCTGAAACTGTATTAGCTTTCTGACCCAAGAAATGTCTGCAGTTCCTTTCCCTGCAAGTGAAGTAGATAACAGCATTCTTGATGTCAATCTCCAGTCTGCTTCTGTAAACCAGACATGTGCAAAATATTCTGACAAAAGAGTCCTTGCCACTATTGCAATGCAAGCAGAGCTTCTGCTGGTGTCTTTTAGTAGCTGGTAGCCTGTTTAAAGAGAGTCATCCAAGCAATGAGGGAGTGCCTTTGGGATTTTGAGAAGGGAACCAAAGAAGTTTTTGCCAGTCAGACCTTCATTTGTTGCCCCCCTAATAGCCCTGGCAAACAGTCCCGACATGAAATTTAGAATGCCCCTGACAGATAACAGTCCTAGCCAAAGTTCACTCCTGCCTTTCAAGATATAGGCTGAAGTCCAAGCCACCCATAAAGAACCAGACTTGATAAGAATTGGCCAAGTATTCTTCAGAATACATGGTTTGTTCCACTCCTTTAAGTTTTTCAGCCCAAGACCTTCAGATTTGGGATGACAGATGAAATCCCAACTGATACGAGCACCTTAACAGGACTGTCATTACCTTTCGAGAAGAAAGAATAGCATAGTTGAGTAACTTCCTTGATGAACCTCCTAGTAACAAGAGGCACACCCAAATATCTCACTGGCAGCTGACTAATTAGGAAACCAGACAGAAGACTGAATATCTGTAACAGTATGCTGAGGAATCCCTGAAGGGACATCTCACTTTCTGAGCTGTTTATTAAAGACCAGAGACTGATAAAAGTCCTGCAGTGCTTGACACCCACTTTTTGGCATTTTTGGGATGATATTTTGATCACACCTTGTGCAGTTTCTTCATTAAGAAGCTTAGACAGAACATCCATAGCAATGACAAATAAGTAAGCAGGAAGTGGATCTCCTTGTGTTACCCCTAGGGCTCCTTGCAAATATCCAACCAAACCCCCATTGATAGACAATAAGAACATAGGAGTTTGAATCCAAACAGCATTAAGTTCCAATCCAAAGAGTCAAAAGGCTTCTGAAATCAATTTTCAGAGCACATCAAGGTTGACAAAGTTCTTCCTAGTGAACCCCTTGACCAATTCCTGGGCAAGCAAATACATTCCTCAAACCAAGTTTCTCCCTTCAACAAAAGCACTTTGGCTAGGAGTGATGATATGAGGGCAAGCAAGCTTTAAGGAAAATTTCAACACCAATTGTCATTTTTCTTAGTCCATCCGAAAGAAAAAATTGAAGTCACATTCCAACAAGTTTTAACACATTGAAATTGCCATTCACTTTCTAATTTTGGTAGTAACCAGTCCTGTGATTTGACATTACAAGGAACTTCAAGTTCTAGAGCCACCATCCTCAGTCCCAAAATTTTGCTATAAAAAGAAAAAAAAAAGAATTTGAAAGATTATGACGTTTACAATCCTTTCATTGACAAATCTAAAAGTATTCAATTGGCTGTCAATTTTACTTCCTTTTGTTTCTCAAACCAGTAGAAGTAATGGCATGACATAAAAAACAAAGTGAAATTAAGAATGAGTTGAAATATACCAGAAAATCATCAAAACCCCAACAGCTGTCCTATACTCTTTAGTCCATACCTGAAAATTAATACTACTTAAAAAGAATTTAAAAGATTTAATAGAGTATGGGTAGCCCAAGCAAACTTGACGAACTCCTGTTCAAGGAATTGCTTCTTTCTTTTGACTTCGAATATATATATATATATATATATATATATATATATATATATATATTTATATATACAACAATTCAGCATTGCAGCATCAAGGTTGGCAGGTGAAGCCACCGAACAGCATTTATTTTTGTCAAGATTTTCAACTAGGATTTTCTTATTCTTACGACTTTTCTTACCTATCCTCTAACTATATCCTACTTCTTATAGGCTATTTTGTTCGTGAAGGAAAGCTAGTTCCCAAGTGAAGGTCGACCTGTGCTTTCTCATGGCTTTCAAATGCTACCCTGGCCATGTGCATCTAAAAACAATTCTGTATTATATGTCAAGAATCAAGATTACCATTCACAGTTCACACTCAGCAGCTCATTGGTATCAGCTACAAGCCTGGATCGAAAATCCATGCTCGACAACCTCAACCTAAGCTTGATGTTAATAATATTCACCTGCCCCAAACCAAATGCAGAAATGCCTACATATTCAAAAGGCAGAGTAAGATGAAAAATGCAAAACAAAACAGTGTAAAAACATAAGTTTGAAGTCTGAATTCTAATGACCGGTAATGAAAATAATATAGATAGAGAACAGAAAGAACGCCTGGCTTATCTCTTATAGTCACAACCAGGGCTAGTCTTCTTGACCTGCAAATTCCAGCCATTGGAGCTACACATGAACCAGGGATGCTACAAACTCAACAGAAAATTATAAATTCACTATTTTGGAAGCGTAACATGGCTGTCTTTGAATACTAACAAGTTTTTGTGTGGACTGAATATCTAAAAAGCACTCAAGTTCTCGTGATTTCTTTGCAACTGATACACTTTCACGCCTCTAGTTTCATCTACAAAGAACATTTCTTTCCCATCAAAGGGGGTATATAACAAATGTCATTCTCAAGATTGCAGTTTACAAGAAATCATTCGTGGCCGAAGTTTTCAGACGAATTAGCAAGACAATCCCTTTTCTGCTAAACACAGGAAGATATCTACATTGGTACCAAAGATTCTACACAATATGGCACTAGAAGCCCAATACCGAGTAACAAAATGAATGATGTTTGAAATCCTTGATGGCTAAAGATAACATGACATAAGAAACACAAGCTGCAATCCATCCTAAATAATCCCTGTGGAGACACTAGAAGTCGCATTTATCTTCAGTGAGTGCTCAGGGATATATGTAAGACCTGTTGCACAATAAACAGATTCTCCATAAGAACTTTAGCTTTGAGGATAGACCTTAAGCATTACATTTGATGATATTTAATACAAAAGTGTAAAACTTTTACAGAATGAAGAATTAGAAGGAAATGAATAAAACCTGCTATACGTGCTAGCAACAATGTAAACATAAATCTACCTTAATGGCAGGTAAAGAGAGACAGTTAAATACAATTGATCCAGAAAAGACGCATAAACCACACATTTCTTCTAACATAGTTCAATTATATGGGTATGGCTAATCATAAGAGGGGAAATTAAACGGATGGATACCTTTCTCCTTAACATCAATCTGTAAAGTGTCAAGAGTGATTATGCCATCGGTCAATGGAAGTAGCTCAAGCTTGATGGTAGCTGTAGATTGAGCAGGAACACATCTGAAGCAATCAATGTGAATTAATACCAATTCTATATTCACAATTTGAAACAATATTAGAAAAGTTGATGCATTACCCTAATGGCACTCTACTCTGTAGCCAGAGATGAGTACATCCCAAACCAGAAGTTGGAATGACATCAGCTATTGGAGTCAACTGCTCATTGAAAGAAGTAAACCTAGCCCCAGCATCACCATTCTGTTTCAGATTCTCTGATGCAGTGGACATTGAGCTCAGCTTGTGCACACTACTTGCTTTCCCTGCAAGCTCAGAAAAACCAACAAATGGGCTCATTGGTGATGTCGGAGAAGAATTCAATGATACCACGGAAGGAGGTGAGGTAAAGGAGGCTGGAGCAAGAACTGTCATGGTTAGATCTTCAGGTGTCATATTTGAAGCCTGAAGAGTTAAGACCTGACAATCACACCAGTTGAATGAGAATTGTCATAGTTAGGTAGATAGATAGATGCATAGATAGAGCGAGCGAGCAAGAACGAGAGAATCCAATTGTATAAAACCTGAACTGGAAGCTGAGTGACTCTTTCATTGGGCCCACAATATTGTCCTGACATTTCAGATGCAACTGAGATCATAAGATCCCTAGAGATACGTGGTCTCCAACTTGTTGGCTGCTTGAAAAACAATCTTGACTCTGCATTCAACACAAAAAAAAAATGACATGTTAATAGTTAGAACAAGTAATTAACACAAAATTTGCCAGATGATACTGTAAACTAAGAGAAATGTACATACCAGTGTAGTTGCAACGGCATGCTACCATAATTGCATACTGGTTAACTGTCGAAGCACTTCCCTCTCTATCAAAAGTCATAGAAGGGGGTCGTAAACTGGACAACTTAGACTTTTCTCCATAAGTTTTGAGGTCCTTCCACATAGAAGTAGCTGGTTTTAAAATAAAAGAGTGCTCTTCACCCCGCCTGCAAAAAACCATTAATAAGCTCAGGGGAATAGACAACTCTTCCTACTTTCACAGCACCATAAGACAGTAAGTACAACTCAACTAAACCTTAATTCCAAACACACTTCAAGATATTAGATAATGGCCATATACATATACACCGAAAGGCAGTCCTTGTGTGTGCAAGTGTTTATTACTAATTTAGTCATTAATATTCTGCAACCATTTGGGTTTGTTGTTCATTAAAAATGTACTAGCAACATTATGCCATACATTCTAAGCAAGCATGGCTAGATACAGCAACAAAAGATGAACATATTTTTCTTTTTCTTGGTGGATACCTGATCATTATGCTAAAATGCTAAAAGTTAAAGGATGATTAGAAGTAAATTAAGGTACCCGAAGTAAAAAACAACCTGAGAGCTAGATTTGGCAAATTATGGTCATCACCAGCTTCAATACATGCAATTGGTAGGGAAGTAGGTGGCCCGCCTTTTGAAGCCTCTTCCAGAACAACTGTTATAGCATCTATGTAAACTACAATATCTGGTATATGTGCTGGAGCAACATTCTGCAAAATAGCTTCATGAGTGAATAGAAGAACCTAGTGACTATGTCCATAGAGATTGGAGAGAAAATATTTATGATTTATCAGAAAACTGAACATTAAGCTTTACCCTTATCTGAACACAAAGAAGGTCGTCTGTGTTGCAGTCAGCAGCATAAGAATGGATCTCAACAGGTTGAATTATTTCAAGTTTCCTTCTCCATCTTCTTCCTGGGATATGGATCCCTTCTAATCCACAACGGACAGAAAATCTTTCTCGCTCTAGTGACACACCCCTGAAGGATAAAAGCCCTTCAGTCCCTGTTCTTTGACTCTTCAAAATCTTCTGAGAAGAGTAATGATCCAACTCATCAAGGTCAAACGATGGTTTAGAACTCTGGGCTTTAACAGGTCCAGGAGGAGTTGCAACATTTTGAGGAAGTGATGACATAGAGTAACTTCTAAAATGACCAAAAGAAAAGAGCTGAGAGCCAGAGGAGGCAGAAAAGGCAGACCTCTGAGATGTGCTACCAATTCCAGTACCAGAACCTAAAGGAGGAGATAAAGTACGAGGTGCAGGAAGAGTGTTATCCAGAGGAAGCAACCATTTCAACAGTTCTCCACATGGGTCTTGATTTTCGTAAACTAAGTTTTCCTGATTCTCAGAAGACAGACTTTTGTCCTGATATTTCTCAAACTGAAGAATTTCAATGACAGGATCTCTTAGAAAATCAACAACAACATTCACTTGTAAAAGTACCTGCATCCTTCCAAACAAAGACGTAGTATGAGAATCAGTAGTCTACATCAACAAGTCACCTAGCAACTAGCAAAATAAGATTCAAGTCAATATGACTGATAAAACAAACAATTAGGAAACAAAATAGAAGAATTGCACCCGAGAGCTTCTGCAATCAGTTTGCAGAACCAGAGCAAGATAACAGTTAATTGAAAGCAGTTTGGAATCAGAATAAGCTTCCTGCAGTAAATTTTTAAAAAAGCCTAGGAACAAGAACAAGGCAGTGGCCAGGTTGCAATATGTAGTATATTGAAAATATCATTTCATTAAATTCAGTTTACATGAGTAGCAATGTCTTTTAAGTTGGCTATCAGGAGCCCTCATAAGGAAGCCTCCAAATGAAATGGCAGGAATTTCCTTGCTGAATGCCCCAGATTTCTACCAAGATACCGAGTGTGGAAAAACGTACTCCTAAGCTCAACTAACCATTTTCCATCTTCTCTTCTCTCCAGTAATGTTATCAAATATTTTTATCCTACCTGCAACTATCTTTATACTTCTCCAAGTTACCTACCTTTTCTCAACTCAGATCTTTAACAACTGATTAGTTCCCTTGGCCAAAACTTAATCAATTAGGATTCTTTTGGCAGCTGCAAACAACGTAGTCTAATCATTCTTTTCCATCAGAATCATCTGCATGCTCAAATTTCCCAAATTGCACCAGCAAACCAAATTTTATATCATCCAGCAAGGTCTAACTAGCAAATATCCATGGAAGATGGATGCAAGGAGCTCTACATGACATCAAGGTACTAACCAATAGTACCCCCATCTCATCATCAAAATGTCCAATTTCTCTTTTCAACAACTTGGCTCCAAAATATCTATGTATTCTCCTCCTTGTTCATTTTATATTTTCTGTTTGCTTCCCCAGAAAATCCAGATGAATGTAGCTTTTTGTAATTAAAGAATTTCCAGTCAGGAAAAGGAGGAGCATTCTTTCCAGTCTTTGACAGTGAAGGTTGGGAGAACGGTTTAGCCTCTAATTGGAGGTATGAGCAGAAAGTGATAGTTCGAGCAAGAGGCAAAAACAGTAGCAAAGAGGGCATTCCTTGCCTGCGTCCCTGCCCCCTGCCATTTTCATCCCTATGCAAGTCAGCAATTTTAAACACACTGCAATTACGACACCAAATGGATGTTTAGGTTCACCATAACACATCCAGCATAATCCAGACAAAAATATCAATTAAAAGTTACAATAACATCAATTTTGCATATAAAATAGAAACAATTAACATGCTATCTGTCAGCTAAAAAAATTAAGTGCAAATACTTCCGCAGCATTTATCCAAGTCAAAGAAAAGGGGAAAACAATGTCATTAACAATGTAGAAGTTCTGTGGTACTAACCACTATGTCTCCATTGGAAAGAGAGCAACACTTAACAGTATCTCTAGCTACTCCACCAGAAACATTGGCATCAAAATTTCCACTATCAATAACTGCATTTAGACTAGATATGTTCTTGGCAGTGTTTTTGGTTTCATTCGCAATAGACTGTTGACTATCCATCTGAGACAAATCAGAAGCACCTTTTTTGGACCATAGAGGCTCACCTGACTCTGCAATCCTGACAAAAAAATGAGAGTTTTTAAACCTTTTCAATAGTATTTCAGTCTGTCTTCTGTGCTCTTCCATCCTAAGAAATGATTCACTAGCAGAAACATCCTTTGCAGCATCAATCCTCTCTTTCTCCAAGTTGTCACCATTCTGATCCATTACTGCACCATTAGGACTCACTTCGACTCCTCCAGGCACTGAATTTGTCTCAACCTCCAAGTTTCCATTTTGTCTCTCAATGCCCTTTCGCATGCCATTTTTGCTCATCACTGCAGCAACTTTAAATGGGGTAATAATTTCTGTTTCCTGATTACACGCTGATAAGCATGCTAGAATATGAACTTTTTCACCTGGAGAAGAAACCAAGATCAAGTTCCATGTTACAAGCACAATATCTCCTATGTGAAAATGAATCAACTGCATAAAAAATCTGAATGACGCAGGAGGTTCACAAAAGAAAAAGGTACCAGGGAAAACAAAAGAACGATCCAGGGAACGTAAAGAATGTATGTCTGGTGCCTGATTCCAATCATCAGGGAGATCCTCTGCAAAAGCATATCAAGATTAGATATACAATAAAGAAATATCAAATAAACTGTGTATAAATTCAGGAAGTAGATCAAGTCTCAAGAACACACACCAAATACAAACTTCAGGAAGATAAAATTTGTATATAAGATTTCATTCAATCATGTCAGGAAATTCTTATCAAGTTAAAATATACCTAATATAATTTAACCAACATTGTGAACCTTAAGAAAAGTAACAAGCCATCACAAGCACAATTCTATTTCATATGAACGACTCCCACAGTTGAAACCGTAGCCTACCAAAAGATTACCTTATTAAACAACCAGATGACCAAAATTAACTTCTCCTACCATCAAAACTGGTAATATTAAACTTTTATGAATCAGTGATTACGGCATTTACCTCTCTGGACTCAGTCTAGGTTCCAGATGCTGTAAAAATCAACAATCAAAATGTTATACAAAAATCAGGCCAGAGGGCTTCCTACACAACCTCAATTTTTTGGTGTTAAAACCAGATTGATTCAATGAATACAATAGAGTCAAACACTCAAAACAATGGCCTATATAAACAAATCATTATATTACAAATTTAACCTTTTTAAAAGGAATGAGGACAGGAGAAAAAGGAAAGAAAATGAGTAAAAGCCAATCATCAAAAGTCAAAACCACAACTAAAGACAATAATAAACTACAAGAATCAAGGATTGCGAAACACAATGAGTAGATTAGTTAGCTTTAGTGGTTAGTGTGCACTTACTATATGGAATAGTGATCCATCCATCTCCTTCAGAAACATCAGTGTGACTCTCCAGAACAGAACCATTCTTTTCACTCACAACATCAGCACTCTCGCCTTCAAATCCATTGGTTTCTCCACCATGATTTTCAACTGTGGGGTACTCTGGATATGGATCTTCAGCTATAAGCCCTTCCAAAGTTGTTGCAGATTTAGAAACGTAAGGCGACTCCACCACTTCTTCTGGTACTGGAGGTGGTTCTGGCGTTCCCTGTTGATTGGACCGCAAAGGCAGCAGAAAATTCATTGTTTTACACCACGATCAGCTTCTGCAAAATCAAACACAATACTTTACAAGTCAGAATAATGGAAGAACCAAGTTAAAACAAGAATGCCAGTAAGACACGCCATGTCTCCGGCTTGTTTCTCTTTCAGAATCCATCATGTTCCTCACTTGGCTCGACAAAAGTGAATGTTTAATGTACAGAAAGCTGAGTTAACAAAATCACTCCCAAACATTACCCTTCCTACAATAACCTAAACTACACCATTTTCCTTTAACCGAATTCCTTGCCCTTGCTCTTAATTCTATAAAGCGCCTCCAATTTTAGCTCTCTAAGTTCAAAATAAAGTTCAAGTAAAAGAAAAGCAAAATCATAATTCTAGCTAAATAAAATCACTGAAATAAATCAAAAGCAAGATGAAAATTTAAAAAACAAAAAAAGCAAAGATGAAATTCAAGAACAAAAATGCGATTGAACGATTTGTTTTTGATCATAGAAGAAGGAAGAGGAATGAGATGATGAGAAAGATGAAACCGTGAGAGGTTTACCTGATCGGAGATCAAAGGCTGTGAAGTTCTTTTCCTTCTGTATTTTAATTGTTTGGTGCCTGGAAAATGGGAGATCCAATTTCCTGACGGGACATTTTAACGAAGATCGTTTTTGTTCGATCGGGTATTTCCGACCGTCTGATTTTCTCTTTTCGGGTTCGGGTCCATTACTTTGGCGGCTTAGGCTTTTTGCTTTGCGTTTTGATCAGCTTTCGGCTCGGCCCTTGTTAGAAGTGGAATGGGCCTCAGCGGCTAGGCTGAGGGCAGTTTGCTCGAGGCCATTTCCATCTGGCCCCAGAGCAGTTTGCTGGAGCGCATAAAAATTATAAAAAAATAAATATAAAGACATAATATTTAAAAAAATTTAAACTATTCAAGAAAATTTAATTAAATCTTTATATATTTATTATATTTAATTAAATTTTTATATTTTTATTTTGAGTCAAATAAATTTTTATAATTAATTATTAACTTAGTTAAAATGATATTTGTAATATAAAATACTAACGTATCATAATTGATAATAACATAACATATTAACATTAGCATCGTATCATAATTAATGATAATGTAACATGTTAATTTATCATAATAACATAATGGTCAAAAAACCTATCCAATTCTTGGCTAACGTGGTACACTTTAATGAAGTGACAATGCCATATAGTACTAATATAATGATACAAGCATTGATATGTTGACAGGTTAGTATCACATGGCAGATTAAAAAAAATTTCAAAAAAAAAAGTTACCATGTCATAGGGATTAAATTAAATAAAAATATAATACAATAATTAAATTGAACAAACTTGAGATGTTAAGAGACTAAATTGAATTTTTTTTTTAAAAATATAAATTTTTAAGTAAATTATTGATATATTTATTAATAAGTCAAATATTTAAATATAAAAGATTTATGGTGTTAAAACATATATATAAATATTTTTTTATTTGATTATTTGATTCTAAAATATGTATATTAATTTATATTTTTTGTAAAAATTGAATTTGAATTCTCCTTTTATAGAAAAAATTAAAAAAATTTCATGTATAAAGTCAAATTTAGATGAATAACTTATATTACGTTATAATAAAATAATATAAATTAATAAATTAAAATTTTTTTCTTCTACTTATAACAGTATGAAAATTTGAAATTGATTTAACTTACTTTTTAATTTTAGCTGAACTCAAATTAGTAAAATAAGTTGACTTAGTTACAATTTTTACAATTTACAAATATCAATTCTTTTGAAATTATTCAACTCTTACTCAATTTACCTTTTATTTAAATTTACTCAAAATTTCTTATAAAATGATTTTATATAAATTCAAATACCATAATTAAATTCTGCTAAATTTAAATTTAAACTATTAATCTAAATATACAAAAAATTTATTAATAAAATAAAATGATATAAATATTTACAATTATATTTAAATTTATCAATCATAAATGCTGTATTTAATTGAGAAAATTTCAACTTAAAAAATATAACTTGAAATATTAAACAAAATAAAAACATAAAAAATAAATAATTAATTAAAAGACTAGAGTTAACATTCTATAATTGTAATAAGAGGTTCGCCATGTTCAAATTAAGCAAACTAGAACGACGAATTATTTTTATAATTATTGCTAACTCCATATATTCATTCTTCATTTTAAAAAAACTAAATCAATTTATTTTACTAATTTAAATTCAGCTAAAGTTGAAAACTAAATTAAATAAATTTTAAAATTTTATATTATTATAAATAATTTTTTTGATTATTTTATATTATTTTATTATAATGTAATGTAAGTTATTCATCTAAATTTGACTTTAAGTATAAAATTTTTTCTAAATTTTTTTATGAAAAGAAAATTCAAACTTAGGTTTTACCAAATATATTAATTAATATATATTTTAAAATCAAATAATCAAGTAAAAAAATATTCATGTATATATTTTAACACCATAAATCTTTTGCATTTAAATATTTAGCATATTAATAAGTATATCAATAATCTACTTAAAGATTTATATTTTTTAAAAAAATTTTAATCTAGTTCCTCAGCATCTCAATTTTACTCAATTTAGTCCGTATATTATTTTTTTATTTATTTTAATCCCTATAAAGTGTCAAAAAATTTTATTTTAAAATTTTTTTGATTGGCCACATCATCATATTAATGCCACGTGACATTACCACGCCATCACGTTAATGCCACATAGCATGCTACGTTATCATATCAAATGCCATGTTATAAAAAATGTGCTATATTAGTGCTGATGTCATCTCCTTAATTGTAAAATTAGATGTTGTTAGTATAAGGGACTAAATTAAATAAATTTCTAAAATCAATAGATTAAATTGCTTTAATTTGGAGTTTAGGAACTAAATTGGATAAAATTAAAAAATATAAGGACTAGATAAGTCTTTTAACCATAATATAATTATGTAATATTTTTTACTTTTCACATTAATATCATATGAATATAAAATGACAATTATGATTTTAACTAATTGTAATTAATTAATTATTAATTATAATGATTTATTTTGACTTAAAATAAAAATAAAACAATTTGATTAAATGTAAACAAATAATAAAAACTTATTTAAATTTTCTTAAATAGTTTAGAAGCTTTTTGAGCATTATGCCAAATATATATAATAAAAAGATATTAACATAATTTTTAATTTAATCTATAACTGTAGCTTTTTTTTTCTTCCTTGTATACTCCTTTTACTTCAAATCTTATTTTCCTTTTAAATTATTTTATCTTATACATTAGTGTATATATTTTTCTAAAATACTATTTTAACTATTTTTAATTAGTATTTTTTGAACAAGACCCATTACCATGACAAGAAAACGATTAAAATTAAACGAATTTAAATTTAAGTTATCGTGTTTCGTATCTTAAACTGGTTAAATCTGCTTAATCCACATATAACATTTTATCTGTTTAATTAATGATATTATGGTGTCAATTTGTATAATATAATATATTTAATCAATTTATGATACTTATTTAAACAGGTTAATCGTGTGTTATAATAGTGTATTATTATATAAATTTACATTTTTTTTTTGGAAATTACCCCGTTCTCCTTTTAAGGATCAAACTCCTCTGGGGCTAATTCACGTAGTAATTTTGGATTGGAACTAAATCGAGAAATTATTCCGTAGGCCCGAATACTACTACTAGTAATCTAAGCGATACACTACCATATTAGACACGGGACACGTGGAGACGCGGCGACGCGTAGCAACACAAGTTGGTCTGAGTCGTAATTATCTCAAAACTCAACAAATTCAGTGGCTGCAGGCCTCGGTTTTGACGGCCGCCACTTGAGGACAAGAACCAGGCTAACCAATCCGTTACACTTGTCACGTGACAACGTCACCGTAGCAGAAAAATAACGTGAAAAAAATACGACGACATAGAAATGACGCCATTTAAGGATAAGAATCAAAGTAGGATCTTTTGCCGTCCTTTCTTTCTATTTTCTCTTGTCGTTGTTAATAATAATATTTAAGATAAAATACGTTTGTTTGATTTTTAAAATTTAAAATAAAATATATCTTATACATTGAGATTAAAATAAGATAATAAAATATCATTATTCGGGTTCGGATAGCTTGTAAATATTTGTCAGTGCCATTTGAAACTCAATATCCACCGCAAGGCAAATTTCTTTATTGATTTTTAAATTCAAAATTAGGGAATTTTTTTTTTTTGTCGAAAACCGTTTGGAGAAATTTGTTGAATGGTAGAATCAATAATGGAGCAAGGTCTCGGGGGGTCCACACTTTTGTGAACAAATTTGGGTTAGCAGTGGGTTGAGGTTGAGAGCGATTTGCTTGAATTGTTGCGTAAATTAGCTAGGAACCTTCCGACTTTTCTACTTTGTCGTGGAGTGGCCTTTCCTTAAAATGCTTCCCACATAAGGTAAGATTTTTACCTTACAAAATATATGAACGAACTTAATTTTTAATTACAATTACATATAAATTTATTGATTTTTAAAATAAATATTTCATTTTAAATATATAAATAATAATATCTGAATATAAAATATAAAAAATATTTTTTTATTTTTTTTATTTGATTAACAACATTTTTTTATACCTGTCAGTCACCTCATTGCCAAATATGATCATGAGCCCTAAATCGATGCTCTCTCAAAGAATGCCACAAGGGACGAGTAACTGGTGGAGGGTTTTTTTTTTTTTTGTGAAAAAGAGAGACAAATTTTTAAATAAAAATTATAATTTATATAATGGTGATTTTTATAATTAAAATATTGCCATGTTCTTAAATTAATAAAAATATTGAAGGTTTATTAACATGTTTAGTGAAATATTTTTTTGGAATAGAATATTTATTTTGAAAGCTATTAACCAACGTGTTCAATGAAAATATTCTTTTAAAATAGAGTATTTATTTTGAACACTAATTGACCTACATGTAATTAGAAAATATTTTTTTGAAAATGAGTGTTTATTTTGAAAACTATTAACTAATGTGTTGATCGAAAATATTCTTTGGAGAGGAAGTGTTTATTTTAAAAAGTAATTGATCTACATGTAATTGTGGTTAAAAGTTGAAAGAGTTAATGTATTTAATATAAATTCTTATTATATGATTATTGTATTTTTTTATACCAAAAATTACGAATAAAATTTATTTGTATAGTTATTTATCGATTAGTCAACCAATTTTAAATTTTTAATTATCACTGTAAACAGAAAGTCTTTAAAGCAATTGTTCAAATAATTCATAACTGTCTACCTTTTTTCATTTACTTTCATCGATATTATTATTATTTATTTTTTATGATAATTTATTCTAATTTATTAGATAATTCTTTATAAATTTTGTAACGCGTCAATTCAATATCAGTTTTTTAAAATACTATTTTGTTAAAAACACACTTTACTTTTCTTTTTCCCTTTTTTTTCTCTTTTTCATTAAATATATATTATGTTTATTTTTTTCTTTTGTTATCATAGCACAAGTGACTCTCACGAATTTAATCACGTTAAAATTATTTGATCAATTCAATTATTTAACCACACATTAATGTTTAACATCAATTATAGTTAATAATAACGTGTTTAAGAGGTGTTTTAAAAAATAGATGATCTTGATTAAGAACATGATTAATTTAAATTATTATGTTAACTAAGGTAAATTTTGATTACTTTATATATATATATACTTTCTCTTATATACCGAACATTATAATATATTTTTCCAACTATCATATTACATTGTAAGACTCAGACACCATCTAAGAGTAAGTTACAAAATCAATACTTTATACATATTAATATATACTTACTATTTTTATATTAAACATAAAAAAAATCATATTACTAGTTTTAATTTTCATAATTTCACATGTTAGAATGCTTGAATACACGATTTAATAGTAAAAATATGATGTGTCAATTTATTGAAACAACTTTTTAGAAAATTTATTTACGGGTATGTATATATACAGATTAAAAATAATTAAAAAAATACATTAATTATAAATTTCATTTAAAATCTATCAAAAGCCAAAGTAATGGATAGAGTAGTCAAAACAGGAAACTTGGAAAATCTAGTACAATACAGTGTCTTGTTCTTTTCACTTTGACGGATTGTCACCAATCTCTTTGCTTCTGTAGCAGTAGAAGTTTCACCGATTGGCAACTCCCAATCATCACAAAATATTGTCAAGCCTTTGTTTTCGAATCATCTACACGACAAACGATTGATGGGCATTGCTCAGTCATCGTTGTTCATTCGCTTCCAAGTTCCACTTCCAAAGATATTTTCCCAATTTCCCACTTCTCACAGCCACATCTCTCTACAGTCTCTCCTCTCCATTTTCACCTCACTGAGATATAGCTTGTCAGGAATTAGAACTAGTAATTAAGTTAAAATTAAGACGCCCTTCAACCTTCTCGTAGTAATTTGTTAGATTTTCAAGGTGCTCTGTTCTGGGATTCCTCTGTTGTTTGCTTTTTCTTTGGTATTTTTCAGTCTGGGAATTCTTGCAAAGCTCTAAAAAAGAAAAGAATTGTTACCCACATGGGATTGGTTCCAATTGGAAAACCCAGAATCACAGACCTGGAGAAACGACAACAACGAAAATGGATTCAAAGTTGCGTTTAATCCAACAATCTTTCAACACCCCTTACTCCGAATTGGTCCGCGAAGCTCTCGATGAATTACCCGACAATTTCACCATCACGGATCCTTCGATTTCAGGCCACCCAATCGTTTTCGCCAGCCGCGGCTTCTTGAAAATGTCGGGTTACTCACGAGAAGAAGTGATTGGGCAAAATGGGAAGATATTTCAGGGGCCGAAAACTAATCCAAGGACAGTGATGGAAATAAGGGAAGCGATTCGAGAAGAGAGGGGTGTTGAGGTCAATTTGTTGAATTACCGTAAAGATGGTGCGCCGTTTTGGATGTTGTTTCATATGAGACCGGTTTTTGGGAAAGAAGACGGGAGGGTGATTCATTTCGTGGCGGTTCAGGTCCCGATTTCGACGAAACAGAGAAGGAATGGAGGGGTGAGTTTGAGTGAGGATGGGTCGGGTTTGAATGAGATTGTGTTTGGGTCTTGTAGGAGGGAAGTTGATTCCGATTCTTTGCTGGAATTGCGTCGCGTTTTGTCCTTGGATTCGGGTAGTAAAGGTTCGTTTCTTGAGCTATACTTTTTGTGTGTAGCCATTATCGATTGATCAACTGCACATTTAATGTGAAAATATTATCATAAACAGCATCTTAACAACTCCATCAACAATGTTTATTTGCTTTAGAGCTTGTCATCCAATATCTGCAGTTAATTGATGTTTCACTCTTTGTTTAGACGACGAAAGTTGACACTATATCCTCATCTTCCATTATTGTTTTTGGATTTACTTGATTGAGTTCTCATCTATCAAGCCTATATTACAGTATTAGATATCGAAGAGACATGCAAGGCAGGTGAGTTTGAGGAGCGAAGGGCTGCAACAGCATTTAACAACATCTTGTCTGTGCTAACCCACTGTAGTGAGTTGACCGGCAGATTGGTCTGTGGGAAGAGATGCAGTGTACCTGGGCCAGGCTACGTTAGTTCATCACTAAATATATCACTTGGTAGAATCAAACAAAGCTTTGTACTGTGAGTTGTTTGCAAATTCTTAATATTCTTACTTTATAGTAGATAACCTGCTTTATCTGTATTTCTGATGTCCTTGCTTTTTGTTGCTGGCAACACATTTCCGTGGGCTTGCAGAATTGATCCACATTTACCTGACATGCCTATAGTTTATGCAAGTGATGCCTTCTTAAGATTGACAGGTGCTTCAATATGCTTTTCTAATTTCCAATATTAAGCATCATGGATTTAGTCTCATATAATTATTTCACCAGTCATAATTGAAAGATCTAGAGAAAACATTTTATAAATTTATTTAAAGATGCAGTTTATATAGCTGCTTATATACTTCTTTGCCTCTATAGGCTATGATAGACATGAAGTGTTGGGGCATAATTTTAGAGTCTTGAATGGTGTTGATACAGATACTTCAACTCTACATCAGGTAGTTCTTTTATCCAATTTGACTTTTAAACTATTCTGAGTGCATGGTTAACATTTATTGCCTACCGTTTGCCAGATAAAGGAAAGCATTCAAACAGAACAAGCATGTACAGTACGTATCTTAAGTTACAGGTTGATACTTTCTCACTTCCAATGTTTATTGAAGAAAGGCATTATGGCTGTAAGGTCTAAGTATGCATGTCTTATTACTGTACCAGGAAGGACAAAAGTTCATTTTGGAACCGTCTTCACTTATCTCCTGTTCGTAATGCCTCTGGCAAGGTAATGTATTATTGGTTATGCATAAACTTTTGTAAGTTCAGATAAATTTTCTAATCTTAGTTGTTTGTTTTCTGTTGACGAGATGAATATTAGATCTTGTTGTTAGTCAACTTAGCATACCTTCAGCTTCATTCGGTGCAGTCAAGGATAGAAGACTAATATCTGTGCATCAGTGATTTACATACATGGTCTTTGAATTATACAGACTAATATCTGTGCAGCAGTGTAAAGAATAGAGGACTGCCTTTGTCAGTAAATTTGCCATTGCTGATGCAGTATGTACAGAATAAGCCTTTGTAGCATAAATCTTTCATTATACATTCTGAAACTTGATAGAAACTAGGTGAAGAATACATTTTAGATATAACATGTATATCTAAGTATTCTTAGTAGCATACAAGCAGTCAAATTTGAGAGTCTGGATTTTTAGTACTTGGCATGTTTGCTGTTCCATTCTATCTTTACTTTGGAAATGTCTGAGTTTTGGTTTATTATTCTAAACAGAATAACTGACACTAGAACGTGTGGGTAAAGAGGCTTTAACATTCTGAGGGGCTATAAGTCATTGTTTCAAAACTTGTGTTTTAAATATTGCTTTGCATTATAAAACAGCTTATTAAGCATGATAGCTGCAGCTTATTAAGCATGATAGCTGCAGCTTATTCTTCCTCCAAGTTAATTAATTTCACCCATAGTCTATGATTAAAAAACTGCTTATACATAACAGAAGCTTTTCATGCATACTTGAATGATTTCTTGGTGTTCTATGATCATAGAAATGCTATCTATCCATTATTGGTAGACGTTTCAGATATTGCTGAAATATGATGCATCTTTTATCCCCTGATTGAGTGTTAAAAATGGAGTCCAAAAAGAAAAACAAATATCATATTGCAATTGTTGATGCTAAACCTGGTGATGCTGGATGTTGCTAGAGGTGGGGATCTAGGCTAACACTTTTAACATTTGATTATTGTCAATTATCAATACATAAATTGCTTAAAAGTTGTGGATTATAGTTGTTTTAGTTGTTGTCTTTTGTGATTGATTGCATATTAATCTAAAGCGTGCTTGGAATGGATCGATGCTAAGAATCATGGAATATCTCTTTGCAGCTTTGATTTGCCCTCTCTTACACTGATTATATCTGTTCAGATAGCCTACTTTGTGGGCGTTCAGATAGAGGATGACTGTAAGAACCGGGATGGACATGGGCTGAGTCCTGAGATGAGGCAACTTAGTGCTGTTGGTGCTGTGAAGGTTGCAGTGAGGACTTCATCAATCTCTGCTGGCCCTGCTGGCTCCTCCAAGTCATAGATGGCTTCTGTATTCTTTGCGGCTGTCATATATCACTTACCAAACTCTTGAAAATCCAGTCTCACAGTGCTTGTAATCTCTTACTAGCTGAGAATACTGTCTGTAATCTCATCTAGTAGCTGAAATGTAAAAATGTAAAACGGGAGAAAATGCTAAATTTAGAAGGAAAAAAAAAAAGAAAGGGAGTAATCAAAGTGGGATTGTTACAGGGGTTTCCTTGGTATAATAGTTTTGGTGAATAAGTTGTCTTGGCACTAAGATCAGCTATGTCATTACAAAGAAAATGCAATGATCCTAATGTAAAATCCTAAAGGATTGGGTGCATGTTTTACTTTATGGATGGAAAATGTCATGCTGTAAATCATGTAGGTTGAAGCTACCAATGGATGATAAAGTTTTCAAGTAATTATTTTAAGATTTGGGATTTCAGATTCTGTATAATTCGGCAGAAAGTAGACAAAAAGAGTATGAAGGAGAGGAGATCTTCAATGGGTAAAAACAGCAGTACTGAATCAGCAAAGCCATGGAAAAACAGAGTTCACATTTCATCCTTAACCACGTATGAAATCGAACTGACAGACAAAAATCATGACAAAGACCCGAACCTTAACTCTGAAGTAGTCTGATGGAGCAGTGTTAAGCTCAAGATTTCTTAACCAAGACGTGTATATATTAATAAGAAACTGATTTAACCATATGTAAGACATTACACAAAAGTTCAAGCATGTCGGGTCCCCCCATGCAACTTGTGAGATTCGGACAGCCTGGCTAACCATGTCAGCTTCCCAAGCATCCGCAGCACTGCTGCAAAATTCAACCCCGATCGATCTGACAAGGATTCACGAGCTTAAAAAGCTGGCCCTTTGAAAATGCTAATATCCACTCAAAAAGATCAAATTCATTCGCAATCCCAATCTACCTTCTTTTTTCCGTTTCCCTTTTCTTCAAAGGAATAGCCAAAAGCGTCGTCTTTCTCTGAAGATAGTAAAGCACTCACTCCTCAACCATTACAAACGATATCACACTTGTGACTTGTCCACGATGAACCAAACCCACCATGCATGCATCAGAATCTCATATAAATCTCCTCCCAGCATGGACAGCAGCATCATGTCCTTTGATCTTTCCTTTTCTCATTTCATCAAGTTTTCTACTAGGAATTCACATGCCGAGATCTCTTGTTCCATAGTAAAATAATACTAGTGGTGACAAACCAACAAAAATTTAAACATTCTATATACACCAAACAACCTGGTTGAGTCCTATCGTCTCTCTTCTTCTAGCTCTAGCTAACCCCATCAAGAACCATCGTCATTACCCAAATGACGTTCAAGAACCAATCTTTTTTTGTTAACTTCTTCTCTTTATTCTTTCTTTTCTCGTTCTTGGAGCTAAGTGAAGCAAACCAATCAGTTTTCGTGACCCCAACTTCATCTTTGTCTATAATATCGGGGGGTTACTGGCAGCTCCTGCAACCGAGCGTAGGCATCTCCGCCATGCACGTGCAACTCCTCCCGAACAACAAAGTTATCATCTTTGACCGCACTGACTTCGGCCCTTCCAACCTATCTTTACCCGCCGGCAGCTTCTGTCCTAAGAACGACTGCACAGCCCACTCTCTCCTCTACGACGTCGTTTCCAACACTTTCCGTCCCCTCCACGTCCTAACTGACACCTGGTGCTCCTCCGGTTCCCTCGACCCCAACGGTACCCTTATCCAAACCGGCGGATACAACGACGGCGATCACGTGATCCGCATTTTCAGCCCGTGTGACACTTATGCCTGCGACTGGTACGAACTCACGGCTACTCATCTTGTCGACCGTCGATGGTACGCTACTAACCAAGTTTTGCCCGATGGAAGAATCATAATCCTTGGCGGCAGAAGGGTTTTTACCTACGAGTTTTATCCTAAAACCGACTTCGTCAGCAACAACAAGAGCTTTTACCTTCGTTTCTTGGTGGAAACTAGGGACCCCGAAGAGAACAATCTTTACCCTTTCTTGCATTTACTACCAGATGGAAATCTCTTCATCTTCGCCAACCAAAAATCAATCTTGTTTGATTATAAAAAAGGCATTGTTCTGAGACAGTTCCCTCTTATTCCTGGAGATGATAAGAGAAACTATCCTAGTACTGGCTCTTCGGTTATGCTTCCTTTGAGGTTGTCTTGGACAGGGCCTCCGATGGTGGAGGTGCTCGTGTGCGGCGGTGCACCTGCGGGAGCGTTCTTGAAAGCGGATAAGATGAAGGTTTTCGTAGAAGCGTCAAGGACTTGTGGCAGGCTGAAAGTAAACGACCCAAATCCGCAATGGCTCATGGAATTCATGCCCATGCCACGTGTCATGTCTGACATGATACTGTTACCTACCGGTGATGTGATCATCATTAACGGAGCTGCTAATGGCACTGCTGGTTGGGAGGATGCCGTAAACCCGGTTTTCAACCCGGTTCTTTACTCGGTTAACGAGGTTCCACTTCGGAGATTCACGGTTTTGGCGCCCTCGAAGATCCCGAGAATGTACCACTCCGCGGCATTGCTTCTGCCAGATGGCAGGATATTAGTGGGTGGCAGCAATCCGCATACTAGGTACGTATTCACGGGACCGTACCCGACCGATCTGAGTTTGGAGGCTTACAACCCGTACTACATGGATCCTAAATTCAACTCGTTAAGGCCGTCGGTTTTATCGGTGGAGCCGGGGAATACGGTGGTGTATGGGCAGAGGTTCGGGGTTTCGTTTTCGCTGCCTCTTTACAAGCAGAGCGCCACCTACGCGGCTCTGGTGGCGCCGTCGTTCACGACGCATTCGATCGGGATGAACCAACGCGTGGTGATTTTGAACACGGCCAGCGTAGTTCAATTGTCCATGTTTAATCACAAGCTAGTGGTGGGTGGGCCCACCAACGCCAACGTGGCACCTCCCGGTTATTATATGCTGTTCGTGGTACATGCCGGGATTCCTAGTCACGCGGTTTGGGTGAAGGTGATGTGATCTTTGACTCGTTATAGGACAGTGATTGATCATGTACAATTACTTGGATATATTTCTTTTAAAGTTTCTTATATGATGATTCTTTTTAGGAAAAATTGAAGTACCACTACATTGATATAGCAAAATCAGGTGAGTTAGTTAGTTTAGTTGTTTTCCTTCCAATAATGAAATTGGGTTAGCTTCAAGCTCGACCAACACTTGATCAATTTTTGATCGGTTCACTTTTACTATTGAATTAATAAAATTCTCATGAAATATTGAAATAATCGAAGTATAATAAAAAATAAAAAATCACTGAAATTGATTTATTTCAATTTGAATAAGGTATATTTTAACAACATTAATAATATCTAACAGTTAACGATTGGTTTTTTATTAATTTAATCGTAAATTTTTTAACATTAAAATTTGACCGAAAATTATTCCTTTCTACATATTAACATAAAAACCGAAAAAAATAAATCTAAATTAACTGAAATTATTGGATTTCGATTGGTTATTTCGTTTAAATTTCAGCTTACATTTACTTTTTTTTTTAATGAATTATAGTAAGGTTTCACACGGACTAAGTCGAGACTAAACAAAACCGAAACTTGACCAGGAGTTTTGCATAGGGCAAAGGTCAGAGGCCTAGCCCAATAATGCAGAAAACACCAAAATACACTATAAAACATGAACTGGTCTGACAACAAACAGTACATGTTTGATTTCTCTAGAATCTCTTGAATTTGTTTAGTATATGTTTATCATGTTTATATTTGTACAATTCAGGTTAAGTGTTCGTTTGAACTTAAATTATAGGTTAATGACTCGAACTTGGTTGCATAAATGATCTGGTTTTTTGCAAGCTTATGCTTATATTTTTTACTTAATTGATCAGATTTTGGTCTCCAGAACTTCTTGTATTCGGTTCTAGTTTTGGGATAATTGAATTTTCTTCATTGACAACCAAGGCTGATATAAAGGGATGCTAAAGACAATAAAAGGCTAAACAAAACATAAGAAAACAAGAACAGTAGTCTAAACAAAGAGCAACAAAGCTCAACAGAGAAAGCTGACAGTATCCACCATTGAAACCCCCAGTTTTGACCATTTACAGGCTTATCAAGCTGATAGTATCAGATAAGCAATGTCTCTGGATTTTGATAGCATCAGGCTGAGTAGTTTCTTTCTTTTGGGGACAGTGCATTTGTCTGAATTGTTTCTCTTTACCGAAATGTGTACATTTAACTGGATCAAGCCGATCACAGCAACCGAGTCTGCTTTTAACATAAGGATTCAGAATTAACCCCCGGTTTGTTTCTACTTGCTAGCTCCTGCTGATCTGTATTTGTAGCGCATGGCCCAGAAAAGGTAATGAAAGAAATTCAATGTGCTAAGCACGCACATCAGCCAGTAGAATCTTTCCAGATGGTAGTGGTTGATCGTATGACCAGAGAGCCATGGCTTGTGGCCTGAGTTATCAGTGACATTGTTTACTATCGATACAATCACCGAGCTCAAATAATACCCCATTGCCAGTGACGCCCAGGAAAGAGATGTGGCCAACGATCTCATGCTTGAGGGCGCCTCAGTGAAGAAAAATTCAAGTAACCCTGCCAAGGTGAAAAGATCTGCTGACCCAAGGAACAAGTACTGCAAAGCAATCCAGAAAAATGTAATGGGTAATGGGTTGGTTGAGTCAAGTAGGCCAGAGTCAGTTGCCACTCTCTTTCGCTTGATTTCGACAAGAGCTGCCACAGCCATGGCTATTATGGAAAGAAATAAACCGATTCCAATTCGTTGCAGATGAGTAATCCCCATCTCGGTTCTGGTCACTCTCCGAGCAAATGGGATGATGAAGTGATCGTAAACTGGGGCAAGGATAATGATGAAGACTACCGGAAAAACTGGTAGGGAAGCTGGTGGGATTTTCAATGAACCAAGTTTGGTGTTCATGGTAGCAGCTTGTTCGACAGAAAATGTGGAAAGCTGAGCTAGGCAGCAGTTGAGAATAATGGTGCAAGCAAATATGGGAAGGATTTTTAGCACAATCTTCACTTCTTCTACTTGCTGCACTGAGCATTCAAGTGCTGGGTGGGCTGGCTTGTTCACCACCGCTCTGTTTAGGAATTTGAGGCTTTCTGTTGGGAGTTGATCCGGCTGCTGCTTACTTTCTTTGGCATTTTCTTCTGCTTCCTTGCTGGCTTCAGTTTGATAACAAGGGCTTGTTGCCAGGTTCGCAATGGCATTGCTTGGACTTCTGCTCATGCAACTGTTCAGCATAGCAGCAACCAAAACCTGTTCAAGTAAATCAGACGCACACACACACTTATTTCTTCTTTTCAGGAATGGAAACAAGGTACAGTGTTTACTAGAAAATAAAGTTCCATTAGCATCCGAAGTTTACCTTGCCAATGGTTGTAAGTGGGCTGCCAAAGGGTATTTTGTTCCGGTAAAATGTTGAGCCAGCGAGGAAGATTGGGATCGACAAGAATATTGCAATGGTGGAGATGGCGAAACCCCACTCCCAGCCCTTGTTATCCTCAACCCACACAACAAATGTAACGGCAATAAGGGCACCACATGCAAGACAGAAGACAAAGTAGTTGAAGAAGGTCGACCTTTGCTTCCTTCCCTGCTGGGTGTTCTCATCAAACTGCTCACCGCCATGCGTTGGTAAAGACCCTTTTATCCCTCCAACGCCAAGTGCCACAAGATAGAGGCCTATGAACAGCATAGCTGCTTTCCCACCCCCAACTTCTTGGCATGGAATGGAGGGGGTGGAAGATGGATTGCACTCCGAAGGCTTTAAGGAAGGTGTCCGAGCTTGCACGGTAAGAATGATCAAGCCCTGTTTCAACGGCCGCTATTGGTTAGGGATGTGAAATTAGCAAGTATATGCATTAGTTATTAAACCATAAAAAGTTCTTCAAGCCATGCATATGAAGAATTGAAACTTCCATTCCAGTTTCTTCTTCGACAAGGTTAACCTCTTTTCAAGTGTTTCTCAAACGCTTGGACTCTTGTGAAAGTGTGGATTAACCACATCAAACTCAACTAAGAAGGCCTTGGTATTTGGGCCAGGACCAGCCTGGACCAAACCAAATTCCCCAATTTCCCTATCTGATTTCCACATCCGAAAGCCTGCAGCATTTGCCTAAAGACTCAAAGAAAAGGTTCAAATAAATCATTGGGGTCACTTAATATCATCCAATTAAGATCAAGAACTCAACAAAGAGTGGGTCCCTTCATCTAGTGGTAAGCCACACAGACACATATACACGGTTTTGGACTGCACTACTCTGTAACGTCATTGTAAAGAAGCTGGGCTGTTGGCTGCTCGTCTTGGAAGGGTGCATGTGGGCAATGGTTCTCAATTCGGTAGGCTCCCAAGTTTCACTTGAGTCTGTCTAAGTAGTAGCCACACACGTGGTTCATGAACCTGCATCAAATTAGAACCTATTCCTACAAATGGTTTTTTGTAATTTGGGATGAATATCCCATTTAAGGAAAGGCATGGATTTGATTTTCCTCTCTTCCTCCACTTACTCTACGGACATTGGTAGATCAAAATTACCGTATCTCAGACGTAGACAACACCAGGTCGGGGAACAAACGCGTCCGCCAGCAACCAAAGGGTGCAACCATTTTAACAATCAATGATGCCACGTGTCGAGCAAAAGCTCTTACCACCGGTCATGCTGTGCCTTAATCGTGTGCTTCAAACAGGGACAAGATTTTCAAAGGAACAAGACAAGATAGATGCTGCTATCTTGCTGAAATTGAGAAAAGCAAGTTTCTCTTGTCGTAAGACGTGACACAAATATTTTAAAAACGGGTCCCCCCTTCCCTCCCCATCACCCCCATAAGGCCCCCTAGTCCCATGGCGTTGGCACTGATTGGATACGTTTTCCATGAGTAGTATCCCTGGGGACCCCTTTCCACCCCCAGTCTGAACTTACCATTTATTTGCCTGTATCAAATGATAATTTGATGCTTTTTTGAGGAATTTGATCATTTCAAAACCTAACTTTAACTAACATAGCCACTAGTTTCTGTATGCTATTTACTATGTGATGGGAGACTGAAACAGACCCTTTTTGTTTGTTTTTCTTCTTCTTTCTAAGTTTTTTTTGAACGATGGTATTTGGGTTTTGATTCTTTTTGGGGTTTGACTACAGATAGAGAGAGAGAAATTTATGAACATTTATCACAAGGCCTCGATAGTTGTACCTAGACAGACGGTGTTCCTTGGATCTATATACCAAAGTCTCAGGGGGTGACGGCCCCAACCTTTAATGCTTGCACACTTAGATTTTTGCCCGTGTCTGTTTTTTTTTTTTTTGTATTTTTGGCATTTAAAATGGCTATCCTTCATGCAAAGTCTACACCTTTTTGGTTTCTCCAAAAATCACAATGCGGATGAAATGCAAGAATGGAACAAGAATTTACACAATCTGAAGTAACAAAAAAGAAAGAAATGTTAAGGTTTGGTGTTGAATGATTACCAGGAATTCGATGAGTGCGCTTATCAGGTAGATGTGATAAGTAGTGAAGAAAGCGTCCGATAAGAAGCCTCCAAGCAGAGCCAGAAGGAAAGCTGTCCCCATGAAATTGGTAACATTGTTTGCCGATTTGGAGGGAGATAAGTGCATGTACTTTGACAGATACAGCACCAGGTTGCTGGCATTTGCCAAGTACGCCAGGTTCTCCAGCACTTCCGCAGCTATACAGTACAATTGAAACACATCAGAGAGAGAGAGAGAGAATAAACAAAAACAGCCTGCGGAAGCTGACTGATATTTGAATTGTGTCAAAACTGAAAAGCAAGAAGCAAGAGGAAGGCTTTGGGGGAATTTGGTTGTTAATTACCCAAGACAAAGGAAGCAGCAAGCATGCCACCATGTCGGCCCCTCAAAGCAGGTCGATTCCTCCAATCCACATAGCCTTCCCAACTGCTATCCTGGTGTCCTCCTTCCTGTGGGAAAACACAAAAGCAAAAAAAAAAAAACAAACTC